GCAAAAAGATGTCGCAAGCGAGATTCCCTGGCAAGCAGACTCTGAGATAGAAATTATTGTGCAGGAAGTTCATCAGTTTGTGCTCCCTGAATCCACACGTGGTCGGGGGGAGCAGGGGGGAAGCAAGCACAATGGGTAAAAGGAGAAATTGAGTGTTGTCACAAACATAACAGGGCCTCAGTTAACTTCATGGAGACCTGTGAAGCTTCTACATTAGGGTTGTCCTAGGTTGGGGTGAGGACCCCAGGCCAGATTAGATGTGGGATACCTGAAGAAGGCAGAGTAACCTTGGGCATTTCAACACTTTCAGCAGAGGCATCTCTAGGAGCAGGCTGTCAGATAAGTTTACAACCTTCCCAGCAACTGGGGGAGTGGATCCTGGGTGGCAATGAACAACATCTATGGTTGATAACTAAAATTCTGATATATTTTGAAAGTAATAAATACATGTGTAAACAACCAATTGCTTGAGTGAATTTGTTAATTCTGGTGAAATTGGGGTGAGGTTTTGAAGGATTTATAGGGACAGAAGACATAAATGAAGTCCTACCCAACATGGGGAGTCTAGTTGTAGATTCACTCCTCAAATAAAGCTGTAACCCCAAAGAAGTATACTCTTCGAATAAAGGTAAACCAGACTTCACTCATCCCACAATTTGCAGCCTCTCCCTCCAGGTAAAATTGTGTTGGTGCTGAGCATAGCAAGGTGGTTATAAAAGAATCTGAGATATTGTAACTCTGAATTCGTAATAGATTTACAGACCAAATTTACATGACATGTGTTTCCAAAAAACATCAAGAGACTATTGAAAGCTGTTCCACTGGTATTGATTAGGTGCCTGGAAAACGGAAACTTACATATTCTCTGGAGGAATAGATATTTATCCTTTCTCTTAAATAACATAAATAAGTTTTTCAAGATAATAAGCAGTGTACAGTTTAATAAACAAAGCCTACAAGAAAAGAAGACAACATGAGAGAGAAGCTTCAGGATCAACTCAGAGGCTGTCTAAGAGTCCAAATATTATTGTAGAATTGTGAAACAGAATCTGAAACAAAGATAAACGACAATTTCTTCAGGGGTCAGGAAACCATAATTATGACTAAGGAGATTTGTAAAAGAATCAAGTGGAACTTCTAAAAAGGAAAAATATAATAATTATAGTTAAAAGTGTCATAGATGAGTTTAATAGCATTTTAGACAGGTGAACAAAAAGTTAATAAACTTGAAGATAAATCCAAAGAGATTTTCTGTAATGCAGCAGGGATAGCAAAATAGATCAAACATATATACTGAGTAGTCAAGAATCTTGTAGGATGGAGTAAGAATTTCTCACATTTGTCTGATTGGACTATCAGAAGAGGAATAGGGGAGAGGTGCGTTTGAGGAGATAATGGCAAAGAACTGGCTAGAACTGATGAAAGATACCAATCTTTTATACAAGAAACCTTGAGAATCTAAATTTAGATAAATTAAAAGACATCTCCACATAGACAGAATGTCAAATAAAAAGACCTGGGTGATTCTCACAAACATTACACTGAGTGAGAGAAGCAAAACACAAAGAATATACACAGTAAGCTTCCATTCATACAAAAATGAAAAGAAAAACTGAACTCTTGTTTAAGGATGCATAGATAGATGGCAAAACTATAAGCAAGTAAAGAAATGGTGATTACAAATGTCAAGAGAGTGATCATCTCTATAAAGGAGGAAAGGAATTATGATTGAGAAGCAGGCAGGTGGGGGATTCTAGGATGCTGGAAAATGTTCTATCTCTAGACTTAGTTGTTGATTAGATGGGGTTTTGTTGTATAACAATTTCTTAGATTACACATTTATATTTTATTTACTTACTCATGCATGTTATCTCTCAATTTAAAAAGAGGTCACACTAATTACTTGCACTTAATGAGGTAACATTGTCCTGAAAACATATGCTAAAAATTTTCATAAATTTCTGGAGTTCTTATCTCTTTGGGTTTAATTTTTTTTCCCCCAGTCTGTCAAGTGTCAGTAGGGCATATGGTTTGATAAAGAATAAATGATTCATAGGTAATGAAATGTATCACTCATTTCTAGTTAACATCACCACATACTGCCTTACTCAGTTTTAACATTACAATTAAGACTATACATGTAAAATAATTCTGAACTTTTAAGCTTAGAGTGTTGAGTATTAAGACATACTGGAAAGTAGAAAAGTGTAGCAGCTATGGGGCAGATGATTATTTCATTTTTGACATTTATTTCAGCTTCTTGTAAAACATACAGATGGGAATGTTCAGTAGGCAGTTGTGAATGCTGATCCAAGACTCAGAAGAAATTATGGGTCAAAGGCAGATCTGGAAGTGATCTGTTGAGAGGTCATCTGTATTGGTTTGCTAGGGCTGCTATAACAAAGTACCAAAGAGTGGGTGGTTAAACTACAGAGATCTATTTTCCCACAGTTCTGGAGGCTAGAAGTCTAAGATCAAGGTGTTGACAGGGTTGTTTCCTTCTGAGGGCTGTGGGGAAAGGGACTGCTCTAGTCCTCTCTCCTTGGCTTATAGATGGCTATCTTCTCCCTGTGTCTTCAGATTGTCTTACACATGTCTGTTCAAATTTTCTCTTCTTATAAGAACATGAGTTGTATTGGATTGAGGCCCACATTAATGACATTTTAATTTAATTACCTTTTTAAAGAGCCTATCTCCAAATATGGTTATGTTCTGAGGTACTAAGGGTTAGGACTTCAACATATGAATTTTTGAGGGATCACAATTCATTCTATAGCATCATGATTTAAAAATGTGAAAGTGTGAGATGGCCAATGAAGAGGGTCACATTGGAGAAAGAAGGCTCTGGAACACATCTGTATTCAGAACAGACAGAAGGGGACAGCCCAAGGAGGAGACAGTTTAAAGGAGGAGATGATCAGTGGAATCAAAAGAGACAGAACATTCAATAAGGATCTATCAGGACTGAATACAGCAAATAAATGTGGTGTTGAAGCCGTCCATGGTGACCATTTAGAGGACAGGGTTTATAGGATGGAAAGCTGATGGAAGTGGGTTGAGAAGTATGCCTAACTAAGAAGTGCAACAAGAATGAAAAGACAGCAGTGCATGTTAAGAAGCAGAAGAAAGATAGAAAGAGGGAATTGATACAATAAGTGGGGTGAGGGGGTAATTTTAAAGGACAAATGGTAGAGGGATCTTTGAAAATATGCTTTAGATTGAGCACAAGAAACCATTTCAATGATACAAATGCAGAGAGAAGACATAAAGCTATAGTCAGGGTTATGGTTTACTATAAACCTCTTTATCAAGAGAAGGTCGGTGTTCAAATTCCTTTTAAAATTTTATTCAAAGAAGTTGACATAATAGCTGTAAGTATCAAGGTCACTATAATAGCCTGCTCAGAACCCTGCAAAATTTCTCATTTACTCTAAATCACTATCTGAAAGTCTGTTCCAACATTACCAGTTTCTTCTGCTTACTAAGTATTACTCTAAGAAAATTTGGGGAAGTTAAATTGGAGGTGGCAATTTACTGTAGAAAATTATTTATTGTCTATATCTAATGTTAAATATTAGTTTAATTATTTATATAACTTTGAATAATATTCATTTAAAAATTCAATTGTATTATTTTTTTGGTATGAGTCTTCCCATATAGTAAAAATTTTCTAATTTTCAGACACTCAACTTTTGAATATAATTTCAGGTAATAATATATGAAAGTAGGGAACTTGTTCCACAATCCAAAGAGACACTGTTTAACATTTTCTGTGTTTGCTTCTGGAATAAACGTTATTGATAAAACAAACTATCTTGCCCACCCTAATGCTATTGTTCTTTCAACTGTTGACTTTTCCTCTGGCAGTATATCATTATGTGTACAGACATTTAAGCCACATCCTTTAAAATCAAGAAGGAAACATTTGACTATTGTTCTTTTTGTTGGATGTGCTTTCAAGCTATGTACTGTAGTTATACAGTGTATGTTTTAGCATTATTACATGGTTTTATCCAAACAATATACTATTACAAAAGAGTTAAAGTGCTTAATTTCCTTGTAAAAAGGAGCTACATAATGAGATGCTCCAGAACAAAAATGGGTCTACCTCCTAGAAAAATTATTTTAAGAACACTATTTAACATTTGCTAAGTGGATAGTTTCAATTCCTTTAAAAATACTTTTCCTCTTATAATATCAATAACGGATACTTTGAAACTTTAGAAGGTAAAAAAGAATAACCTGAAGTGAAATCCTAAAAGGAGTGGTCTGAGGAGGAGAGAGGCACTAGGGTCAAACAAATGTGGTTTGTAGCTTACATGCTTTCATGCATAAGCATTGAATTATCTGGTTCTCAATGAAAATTGAAAAAAAAACTCATACCAAGACCACATATATAAATATAGTTTACTGGCATTTTATTGTCTTCTTGACTTTTAGCGCCACTGTAAACCAAATTTTATCTATAGTTATTAACCTTATAGTGAAAAAATTCTAGGACACATCTTAAAACTTTGTAACAATTTTTCAGTACTAGGCAAATCTGAGTTGGTGAAATCAAACAAAACTATAATACTGTTAGTATAGCATTTTCCCTGTGTCATTAACTGAGAATAAATCTGGACTAGAAGGTTCAAATGGTGGGAACTTTTTCTTAACCATCAAGATTTTCTTTGTTTCAGTACAATGTGTCTAACTGAATGCCTGCTATATTACGTTGAAGTGAATCTCAATATAAATAGCTTCAGTACCAACACCTCATTATGATTATTATTATTGACATTATTATTTAATGTAATGTTTATTTTTGAGCCCCCCCCAAAATTATTCATTAAATCATTCATTCAGTATTTATTGAGCACCAAGTATGTGCCAGGTTCTTTTCTAGGCACTGGGACTCAGCAGTGAACAAACGACATGAAGATACCTGTCCTAATTGAATTTACATTCTAGAACTAACAACAGACAATAGTTAAATGTATTAAACAGATTAAATCAAAATGGATACATTAGATGGTGGTGAAAACTATGGAGAAAAAATCAAGCGGAAAGAGGGGAGAGGGAAGAAGTGCCATGGGATGAGGTTTGTAATTTAAAGTATTCAGGGAAGGTGTCCATGAGAAGATAGTATTTGAGCAAAGATTTATGAGGTGAGGGGGTGGTATTTAGGGGAAGAATTAGCAATTGCTTAAAAGTAAAAATAACTTAGAAGAAATTTAAAAGTGCTTTTAATTTACTTTGAAATTAGAATATTAATTTTAATTAATATTAAATTTAATAGTGTAAAAATAGTAATAGTGACAAATAATTATGTTATCTAACCATCTTTCTGGACATCTGTTTAAAATATATGCAAATTATCCATAACTTAAATGTTTTACATATAGAGAGGCTTTAATTCATAAGGCTAAAGTTTAATTATAACCCTGAAAAGAGTTATTCTGGAGGAAAATAATTATAACATATAGAAGTGGACGCTAGCTATTTGCAAAGTATGTCATTAAAACTCCAGTTTTAATAAGGTGAGTGAGCACAGTCTGGATAGCCGAAGAGAGAGTATTCCAGGGAGAGAAACAGCAAATGCAATGGCTCTGACATGGGATTCTGTCTGGTGAGCTTCACCAAAGACAGCAGAGAGGCCTCTGAGGCTGGAGGAAAGAGGGTAAGAGCGAGTTGTTTGGAGGTGAGATCAGAGTTTGGGCTGATGGAGTGGGCCTTGTAAATCCATAGAACTTGGGTACAGTCACCAAGGAAGTAAAGTGGCTAGAAAAAAAGAAGAGATTCAAATTTGAGCCTCCAGATCCTCGTGTTAAGAGGTCTTGTAGATGAGAAGGAATCGGCAGAAGAGGGAGTAACAAATGAAGCAGGAAAAAACTGGGAATCACAGAAGTCAGGTGTACTGGGAAGGAAGAATTGATCAACTGTGTTAAATGAGGTTGAGAGGTCAATAAAATAAGGACTGAAAACTGACCATTGGATTCACAAAAGAATCCAGTGTTCTTGACAAGAGCACATTGTGTGCAGTGCTGAAGCAGAAACAATGGGAGTTAGTCCATTCCAAGAGAATGTCAGAAGCCAGAGTCAATTGGCACAGGTAGCTCCTTTGTGAAGTTTAACCATTAAGGGCGGTGGAGGAGTGGGAATAGAACTGGAGGGAAGTGAGTTCAATAGCTAAAAATGCAGGTTTATTGAGATATAATTCAGATACCATAAAATTGTTTGTTTTATTATATTTATTCATTTTTTTAAGTAAAGACAAATAACAGCATATATTTATATGGTTGGGAGTAAGCCAAAAGAGGAGGGAAACCTTGATGATACGGATAGAAGTGAGCAAATTCCTGGCATGCTTCTCCTGGATGGAATCCAGGACAGAAATGGGAGGTCAAGCTTAGGTGGCAGCACATAGTGTTCATCTGTATTAATAAGAAGGTAGGCAGAGTTCAGGGTACAAATACCAGTAGGTGTGCTTGCATGGGGATGTAGAGTTTCTCTTTTGATGGCTTTTATTTTCTTAGGAAATTTAGAAGTAAGGTCATTGACAAGAGGGAGGATGGGAAGGAGATATTGGCTATTGGGGAAGAGAAAAAATATGAAGCAGAAGAGCATAGAAGCAAAGGGACTACAAAGTATAACTGACTGTCTTAAAGATCCAGTTGGGGTAATGAATTTAAGTGAGACAAGATAGCATGATGATGTGTTTTTACCCTATCATGTTCATCTGCCTGGTATAGGTAGAGAAAAGGAAAGAGTCTAATTTAAGCCATGGTTGTGGTTTTGCCAAGCAAGTATAGAGAGGGTCAAGGGAACTGAGGGTTCATGCAAGGGAATGATAATGATTGACCACAGACTTTAAACCAAGGAAGAAGGTACTTGAATTGTTGAGGGAAGTGAGGGTGAATGAAAGGTAAATAGGCTCAATGCATTATCGTTCTGAGTGGGAACCAGTAGTTTGTTATAATCACACTACTAGAAGAAGTGATCTGGAAAGAGAGAGGACATTGAAATATTTGAAATTGCATTTGACCTTATTCATAATGCATTTTCCACTTGGAATCCTTCCCTGATTCTGCAAGTCCAAGCCTTGGTCTAGCCCTTAGACTATGAAACCATGAAATTTTCCCTGATTCTCCCAAGCTAAAAGAAATCCTGCCTTTCTTGGTACGTCTATAGGATTGCCTACTAAACCCGACTTATAGAAAATTTCTATCTTCTGTGTATTCTTAGTTCCCCCAAAAGTCTCTAGGTAACTTAATGTTTCATTCTGGTCTCCTTCATACCTAAGCTCACAGTCAAGCACATAAAAGAATAATTATGTCATAATGATCACCTGATAAATGGGTGCTCCGGGACCAAATCTCCTTCACAATGAAGTCATGTATGATAAAGAAAAGTATGTCTTAAATGGCAGCAGTAACGGTGGCAATGTTCCCTCTTAGCTATACTTTTAATTTCTGTGTTGGAGAAAAGTCCTCAATGTACAGTCTTTATTTGTGAATTATTGAGACAATCAGAGCTGGGTTTTGGAAAAATTATGGTCTGTGAAGTCAGTCCTTTGTTACCTCCCTCTCTGTTCATGGCATGAACAGCCCTCTCCTCAGTGCTCCTGTGTCTCCTGTTTGTCCACTCTCCAGGTCTCTGCCCCACAGGGAAAAATCTGATACTTTCACTGATGTCAGATTAAAAAATGCCTGGCCTTCAGTAAATGTGTTACCTTAAATAGGAAAATGAATTTTAAATATTTAAATCTGTGGAATTCTTCCCACTTTCAAAATGATTTAAGAATTCAGTAAGTAGACTAAGGAGATTCTCTGGAGCAGGGAGCATGGAGTACAAGCATTCAGTATTTACTGAGGAGGCCCTCGAAGAAGGCAGGCATCGCTTTTTCCTTTAGATTAGCAGAGGCGTGAGTGAATAAAGAAGAAAGAAAGGGATGTTTGGCTACTTTTCCCTTTTCTTGGGATTATTCTGCTTTTCTGGAGGGAATAAAGATTGTTTTCCCTCTGGCTACTGAAGTCTTTGCTTGGTAGTGACTGGGAGCAGATGAGAAGCAGATGGCATCATCAAAACCATGGAGTCGGCCCTTCTAGTTTTCAGGTCCAGCTGATCAGTATCAGGGATTCCTCTAATTGTCAATCCCCTCTACCTTTCTCAGCACAGACTAGATCTTCTCATCTTAAATCCTAATTTGAACTTGCTCCCTCTATCCCAGAACATCTACATATATAATTTATGGATGGCATTTTCTATTCAATTTAATTTTTGTCCTAAAACATTTTTTCAGATGTTCTCATTTTCATACATCTTCTACTTACATATCTGATTATAAAGTTCATGGTAAAATGTATATTACTGGAGAATTATGTATCCTTGTGAGTAATAAAGCAATTACTGTAAACATATTGCACTTAAATATGTCTTAGTATGTCTATACCTATGCATATACCCTATGTGATAGCTACATATTTCTCTAAGGAAATACCTAATAATATATCGATAAGTAAAGAGTTCTTTGTTTCAAGGTAGGTTAATGTTTAAAATTCATTTTCTTGTTAAGGGAGAGACAATTACAATATTTAATCACAGTATTTGAGTTTCTTGAGGTGTTAAGACTTTTGCAATGATCAATAGAGTACAGATAAATATATATCACTGGCATATTGGTTTTTAATCCTGGGGCTTTTAGTTCCTGCCTCTGCTGTTTGCTTAGGGTGGCAAGAAGGCATTGTCTGTGTTTGGTGTGAGCTGGACTTGATTCAAGATAGAAGATATCACAGAAATAAGACACTAAACTAACTTGAGATGGATTTCATCTGGGGCATGCTATGATATTTACTTTTGCCCTGTCGTCACTAACTTTACCATACCTAGTCCATGATGAAAGACGGTGCTATGTGTGGGTATAAAAACTCCAGTTACAGGAGCCCTTGCAGATCTGATTCTCCACCATGACTGTTCTTCATTTCTAGGTCCCAAATCACCACCATGAAGTTGATATTTTTGTATTTGGTTGTGGTACTTTGCATCTTCTGCAAAGGTAAGGGACTAATTTAAAGAATCCTTCCATATCTTGATAGATCCATGCATATATTTGTTTAAATGTTTAGTGTTCTGTATTTCAAATATTTTTCCTCCTGGGAAATCTTTCCTACACCAAGAGTAGGATAATAAGTAAGAAAATTGGATTTGCATTTTATTAGGTATTATTTCAGGTTTTACAAGCCTGTCTTAAGGCAATATGTATATCTGTATCTATATGCTTAGAAATATTAGTGAACAGGTTTTTGATGACTCTGTCTTGATCTTGCATCTACCTTAAGACTAAAGACTCACACTGGTAATTTCAGTTTTCACAAATCATAAAGTTTCATCAATTAAAAGACTGGTTCATCATCAAAAGAAAATTTTGTAGGAAGAATATTTCTTAAACAACTTTCATGGACATTTTAGAAAGTCAATTAATTAATTTCTAGAATTAATTGAAAGATGAGATCATTAATGAATTTTAATTAAAAATTGAGCAAAATGAAAAAAAAAATCTTTAGAAACAAATGTATTTCTTGCCCTTTAGGTTTGTTTCTGAAAAGGATAGGAAAACAATAATATACAAACATAAGGAGAAAGGTGTGCAAAAGAGGAAATTCATACTATATCTAAACTTAAAATCTATTTTCTAAATTTGGGAGTAGGAAACATTTTGCTTCTCTGTGAGAAACCAGAATAAAGAGGACTACAATTGTTTGTTTTGATTAAGAGAAAACATTCCTATCCTTAATCCAGCTATCTGAGAAATTGATAGGCCCTTAGAAAATGATTATTTCAAGTAATGGTGACTTTTGTAATCTTATACAGCACTTTGCTGTAATCTTTGCTTCTATTTTATATAAATATAAATATTCTTTGCCTATACTTTGCATAAATGTATTTCTTACGTCTTAAGTAACAGTTCACAAAACTCATTTCAAAGCATTTATTAAATGATATATCACAACAAAATGTGTTTGTATTTGCTAAAGTATGCTAAATTCACCAGAGAACTGGAGAATATTTCTAAAGTAAATTCCTAGATATCCCTGATAATTC